TTCGAGGACATCTGCAGGACGATAAGAGGATAGAAAGACGACCCCGAGAGAGGTGGGCTGGGGCAGGGGCTTCTGGCTGCCCTGCAGCAGTGGGCTGGTGGACTTAAAACCGCCCAGTGCCAGCCGGGTGCCCGGGTTCCCTCGGGCAGTCTGAAGAGCACAAATTGGTCCGGCCACAGCTGCCTTTCCCCCCTTGACCTTTCCTCGTGGCAGCAGTGCTGATAACGCTTCTCGGGGCGCTCTGAACCACTCACTTATCCTCTTCCCTCGCCCTGCTGCCCAAGCAGCTCCCCGGCACCTGGCTCAGCCCTCTCTCCCCTCTGGCACAGGCATCCCAGCTGGCGAAGCGAGGAGAACCAGGAGCGATCGCGAACGGGGAGCGAGTCCTCGCAGACTGGCAAATCGGGACCTCCGTGGGAACTGGCCCGACAGGCAGGAGTAAGTAGAGCCGAGTGTCCCCAGGCTGGGCCCACCTTGTCACCCCCCTTCCAGCTCCTGCAATCCCACGTCTTTGTGTGCCCCTTCAGCCACGCGAAGGCGGGAGAGCGAGAAGTCTTTGGAGAACGAGACGTTCACCAAGGAGGATGATGCCCCTTCTCCCACCTCCAAGCCGAAAGAGGAGAAGCAGCCCCTGAAGGTGATGCCTGCGCCCCCGCCCAAGGAGAATGCCTGGGTGAAGCGAAGCAGCAACCCCCCTGCCCGTTCGCAGAGCTCGGATTCGGAGCAGCACTCCCCTACGAGGTTGGTGCCGCGGTGGGGGGCGCACATGTCCTGGGCCTCAACCCTCAAGATTTCCCCTGTGCCAGGAGGCTCAGGGGGTTGCGGGAGCCACTGGTCCATCCAGGTGTTCCTGTGGCCCAAGGATTCGGTCTCCCCAGGCAGTAAACTGCTCTCGCTGCTCCGTGGCATCAGGATCTTCTCAAGGTTGTGATGTTGGTTCTCTTTTTCCCCAGCGGCAGCCAGACGGCACCCAGCCTGCCCTTGGAAGACGGGGCACCCCCGAAGAACGCCCACAGGAAAGGTACGGTGGGGGCTTGGCCAGCGTGAGCCGCTCCTGGC